TAACCCTTTTTACACAAACTTAGTTTAATAAAGTTTTTGAACTTTGAGCAAGCCAAATTTTGTATATTTTCTGGAATTTAAAAAAATATATTATATTAATTTATTTAACAGACAGGTACAAAAGATCCCCTTCCTATATTTTACTTTATTAACTTCCTTCTGCGTAGCATTGAAAGGAAGTTAATGGTTTTAGCTGGCAGTCTATTAGTCTGTATGCCGACACTATAACTTCCGTTCCACTGGACCGATTGACTTTAAATTTGGTATGTGGATACCTTGAGGTAGTAGCTCGGTCGAGTTTGGGTCCTGTAGGTCAAAGGGCACCAGAGATATGGGATTCACGCAGAAGGAAGTTGATTTTCTTGAATTTGCATTAAACTCGTTACAGTTAGAATCACTTATTATTCTATCATGCATTAGGATTTGCAACCATAATTATGGTGCATTAAACCATTAACAAATTAGTGCTGCATAAGGCAAATAAGCTGTTATTATTAACCTATAAAAACTGCTGCAAATGGATCCAATATGTGAAAGAAAGACATTAAAAAATTTCTTATATTTTTCGCCAAAAGAGGTTTTGTTGGAATTCTACCGTTGGGCGGCCAGTATTATTTAACAATAATAAAAAGAAAAAATAAACTATTATCTTAACCGTGTAAGAATATTCACTTGTTCACTACCCTATATCATCCCTAATAACAACTATACAATAAAGAAACTGCGGTTGTCAACCGGCATGCCAAGCTTGGCAACTATGTCAAGTATCGTTTGAGGGAATCTTTGGGGAGTCCCTATGTTCAGCAATGGATTTTGATAGTCTATAATGATGATAAAATCTGAGGAAACCTGCGTTTAGAAGTAGGACATTTTTTGTAGACCGCTATTCATACTAGATTATTATATTTTAATGGAAGTGCCTCAGTTTAAGCACGAAATAAAAAGAGTACAGAAGTCAAACTCGTGTATGAATTTAATTGTTTATACATAGAGGCGACCATAGCCTTAGGGTTGTCAGTTTTACTTTCCGCTGTTCGATTGATTGAGCTAATATTTGGTATACATAATATAATGTGATGTCACAAGATTTTACTGACATTTCCATAGTCGTTTAATAGGATACCCAATGGACGAAAAAGCGTGATGGATTACCTTATGCCTCCACCATACGGCTCGGGTTACTACAATTTTAAATCATAATATAAAACTTGTTGTCCATGGAAAACGTAGTAAATCTAATTTTTTTTATAGGATAAGGGTGACAAACGAGCACACAGTCCACCTGATAGTAAATGAACGCTGTGGTCCATAGACATCTACATTGATCCTGAATTAAGAATCAAAATGCAGATTCGTTGTCACCCTTCACTGATATGGAATGCCTCGTTTCCAGTAAAAAGGGTCTCCTGTTCTCTTCTCTACACTCACCATACGAAACACAGCAGCAATAAGTTGCTACTTTACGCTGGTATTCTGTGAGAGTGTGGTCCTACCCCGGACGAAACGACACATTCGTGCTGCAACCACAATATAGCTGCAGCATGGCGCTACCACGTAAATAATCTATGACGTAGAGTCTATGGTCTCTGCAGGCATGTTACCTTAGAGTAGGTAAACGTGCACATTACGCATGTTGCGATCCGTTTTGACATATCTATCGATCCCATTATCATATACAGATATCTATCTTAGGTAGCCGATTACCTTCAGCAATATAACGTTAATTTTAAATCTTATCAAATGATAATTTTAATCTGTAATCCGAGATACAAAAGAAATCTTCGTCTTGCGTAACGTAATTAAAATAAATACTCAAATAAAAATCAATTCGAACCCTTATCAAATCGTTAATGAAGTCTCCACAATTTTCTTTTAATTTGTTTTGCCGTCGTTTAATTATTATTATTACCATGTGGTGGTGGGCATAGATCAATTACACTATTTTGTCCTGTGTGTGTGTATGAGGGGACTATTAAGGGTACATAGGGTGAACTAAATACTCACCATACGAAACACAGCAGCAATAGGCTGCTATTTTACGCTGGTATTCTGTGGGAGCGTGGTCCTTCCCCGGTCGAGCCGACCCATTCGTGCTACAGTACATATACTAGTAATATAGCTGCTGCATAGCTCTACCACGTTGAAAACCCGTAATGACAATGTCAAAGGTGCTCACGTCTGGCACTGCGATCGTCAATATACCTACCAATGGTGACAATTAAGCCAAATCCCTGCAACGGGATAAACCCGCGATGAGCCACAAGATTTTCGGCATTCCCTTAGTTCTTAGTTATTCCCTCTTACACACCAGATGGCTAATGTGACAAATTAGCACTTATAATTGAAAATAACAATTTCATTGTTTCCAAAGGGAATCACTTTGTTAGCTTCATACTACAAATATCTTAATACGAGCGATTATCTTCTAAATGGTCGTCTATTTCCGTTTTGACATGTTTTAACATTCTTTGTGTCCATGACACTGCATCCTATATTATTACCTTCTTTTTATCATCTCCTTTTGTTTAAAAATTACCTCCACACTAGGACTTTCTCTTGTATCGATGGGTTTAGAGTTTAGGTACCTACATACATACATTTCACAAGGACAAACATCCAGGCCGGCAACAATTATTTGTTGGTCATACAAATACTTGACTCGAGAGGGATTCAAACCCGTGGCTCTCAACGCTGCAAATCACTGCTAAGCCAATGCGCCACGGAGCCTTCCTCTCCTTCCTTCCTCGTAATGGCAAGCATTAAAATTATTATAATGCACTCATCCTAGTAGCAACCGTGGGACAGAAAGGTTCTTGATCGACAACCTTATACCAGCAATCGAAATGTCGGGAGTCTAGATGGATTGAGACCTGGTAAGAGATGCAGGAAGTCGACAGCAGGTGACTCAGGACCGTGATTTGTGTCATTCTTTTTGGGTGCGTACGTTCAACAGTGGACTTGTGAAGTGTTCTAATTATGACGATGACGAGTTCTTACCGATTAGAGACTCAAAGCGACCAACTAGTTGCTAGTCGTCAAGCGAAACAATGCCTGTTTACTTATCTACCATAATAAACGTCAAAACTTCACGTGTACCGTGAAATGGCCGCCGTTGGGCACTCCCGCGCCGCGGGACGCCGCGCTATTGAAATATCTTTTATCTCTCTTTGTGCGCGCCACAAAAAATTGACACCTGTCATAAATTGACATTAGAGTGGCTCCCACGGACAGATCTCCGGTGCGTTTACTAAGATTATCCTTGCAATGAGGCTTTTGTGTAAACAAACTAACCTGTTCCGGACAAACACGTATTATTCTTAATTCTTGAATGTTTAACTTACATTGTCCCCATTCAAAAATCAACTTACTAAGATATTTTCTATAGATTTTTTCAACCACCAGTGCATAATATATGTAAAGTATTAAAACATATAGCTATATCATACAAAGTAAAAAGTAAGCACGGAAGAAGCCCACGATTATAATATTGTAAGTTATGCTTTAAAATAAAGTCCCGCTGGCTTTCTGGCTGGTTCTTTCCAGGACAGAGGTTTTTTCCGAACGAGTGGTTAAAGTTAAAAATGACTTTCAATAAGAATTACATGTAATCAATATTGAATAAAATTATTCTATTCTATTCTATTAGCTATTAAATTTTTGCCCATTTCTCTTAGTTGCCTCTAGGGCTGCCAACCCTACTGTACTGTCCCGAAAATAGTATCCTACTATATTAGGGATCCGAATACTATATTTCTAAAACTTATATATTATAGTAGGCGAAATTATTAAATTTTGATATGGCGCTGTTAATATAGCCTCAAACAGCAAACATAAATAAAAAAGAAGTTTTACAGCCTATATACGTCCCACTGCTGGGCACAGGCCTCCCAATGCGTGCCGGCGAACTTCACATCTCTCCAAAATATATTTTTTCTTATTTCTTACACATGCAGGTTTCCTCACGATGTTTTCCTTCACCGCCGGGCACGTGGTAAATCAGCACTTAAAACTGCAATTAACAATTTCATTGGTGCCGGCGGGGATCGAACCCGGGTTGCTCGCGTGCCGTTTAACTTACAGCGAGCGCTAACCATCTGAGCTACCACGGCTCTCACAACAGCAAACATACTTCTTTAAAATATAAATGTTAATTATTCAACTTGATAGAGGCAAATCATCACAACGGAGTCCTACGTCTAGCAGTGGACTTTTGTGAGCTGATTAAGAAAGAATAAAGAATGGGATTGTTATAAAATGTTTCTATCAAGAATAAAGAAGTTGATGCGTATGGTGCATTAGGGTTGCCTCGTTTACAGGGAAGAACGACGAACCTTGTGAGGCCAGCAGAATTTCTTGCAGTTATTCTGTTGATCCGATGCAGGCGGCTTTTATTCTATTACACAATAACATAACAAAGCACTTAGAATTAATGTTGTATTTGATTTTAGGGTGACAAACGAGTACACAGTCCATCTGATGGTAACTGGTTGCTGTGGCCCATAGAGATCTACATTTATCATCGATTAAGAATCAAAATGCAGATGCGTTGTCACCCCTGAGGACTGAGATAGAATGCCTCGTTGCCAGTAAAATGGGTCTCCGGTTCTCTACACTCACCATACGAAACACAGCAGCATTAAGCTGTTATTTTACGCTGGTATTCTGTGAGAGCGTGGTCCTACCCCGGTCGAGCCGACCCATTCTTGCTGTAACCACAGTATACATAGCTGCAGCACGTAAATAAATATTTAACGAGAGCGTCATGTCATTCACGAAGAGGAAGTTCACTCTCTTTCTCGAAATTATCACACTGGCGGTATTTTGCGTAAATGCGTTGCGTTCCATTCTTCTTGAGGTGAAGATGGGAAATTAGGGAAATTAATGGGATAAAGATATTTGAAAATATATATACTTGGGGTCTACTACCACTATAAACTATTAAAACTATGAACAATAGCTGCTTGAGTTTATTAAATAACTAGATTTATTTTTCTTTTCAGCCCCAAAACTGATGATACCTCCAACCGACTTCACAAGCCAAGGTGTCCTCGGAAGTCCACAGGACGGCCTTCGCACACCAACGGGCAGCCAGATGCTGGCCAACCCACTACTCAACCTCAACAACACCGGCCGCACCAACTTCACCAACAAACAGCTCACAGAGCTGGAGAAAGAGTTCCACTTCAACAAATACCTTACCAGGGCACGGAGGATAGAAATAGCATCCGCTTTGCAACTGAACGAGACCCAAGTTAAAATATGGTTCCAGAACAGAAGGATGAAGCAAAAGAAGAGGATTAAAGAAGGCCTTATCGTTGCTCCCGAGGTGACTCCATCCACCGCTTCCCACTCAAATCCTATTGGATCCTGTGAAAATAGTCGAGAGTCAAGTTAAAGCCAATTTGAACTTAGATTTAATGCGCTGTAAAGACTATCATTTGAAAAAAGTTAAAACAAATTAAAATTATAGTAAGAGTGGATTTCTTTCAGTTATTTATTTGTAACGGCTCGTAAACTCCAATAAAATTGAAATTGGAAAGACAATCAACAGACTACACAGATTATATCATGTGTCAAAATAACGTGTATATAAGTAAATAACATAATGTTATATTATTATTTGAAACGCTATTTAATCTAATAATACTGTAAGTTTTTCATTGTATCTTTCCGAACAGACCATTGTCGATCTAATCTCCTGGAAACTGCGCGCTTGTTAAATTTCAATAACAGATATTTTAGATGGTTTCAATCGGTAATGTATACACTGCCCTAGATTTCAAATAAATTGAATAGCTTTGAAATTTTCATTAGCTTTAGATTTTTCGTTGAAAATTCAAAATATTGAAAATTTCTCAATACATATTTTCCATTAACTTAAACATAACTTTCATGTTTAACTTAATAAGGTAAAAAAGCCACTTAAAACATGAATACGTCATCTTAATCTCAGCCATTTTGTCATCGCGAGTCGCGATATTCCATAAATCATGTCTTTAAGCATAAGTGAGGTTTATGTCACATTACTAACAACATATTAACACTTACTAAGCCTACTAAGTCTAAGGGTAATTGACCTCCGTGGAGCGTACAGCGAGACGGGGCATTCTGCCTGATGGTCAAACACTAGCTCTTCCTCTCGTCCAGAGTCCAGCGTGCAAAGCCACCGTCACGTCAGAAGAGTTAATGTTTGTCATTCACGCTATATGCCATTACATTACTGATGCCTTGCTACACTCTCGTTACTAAGAGTAAGACATCAGTAAAGAGCGTTTGGCGGAGCGTGGCTAAGTTTCTACAGGTGTACCAAAAAAGTTGATTTACGATATCGTACCAGCCGAGTGGCAGCCATGCTGCTCCGCGTCACCGTGTCTAACGCACCGTGTGGCTTCGACCTTACTCTAATTTATCGTGCAAAATAATTTTAATTAAATTAAACAATAAACAAAATTACAACATATCATATTGAAATAACCAAATGGCACAAATTAGTTTTTCTTTTCAATAAAACCGTTTATTTAAAAAGATACAAGCGGTAAAGACAAAATTTTGTACAACCGACTTCAACATAAATAATTTATTGTTGATTTTTTAAAACAGCTCGACCGATTTCGATAAAATTTAAATGGAACCACCTGGAAAGTATACTCTTTGAAACATAAAAAGAATTTTTCAAATCGGTTCAGGCGTCTTCGAGTAATCGGTGAACATACCTAAAGAAAAGATTCCGACGAATTGAGAACCTCCTCCTTTTTTGAAGTCGGTTGAAAAGAACAAAAAAAGTACCTACCACCTTTTACTATTGCCAGTTACATTAAATTCACATTAGGTTATTAAAAAAAAATACGAGATTACTTAGCTACATAAAGAATAGGACTAAGTCACAGATGATACAGTGAGAGTTTTATATTGCGTATTTTTAATCTGCGAGCATTTTTCATATTTATTTTTAGTTTTTATTGTATTTATATTACCGAATACGTTTCAAATATTGCTTTTTTACCTAATTATTTTTGTACAATCTTATAATTTAGACCAAAGCTGATTTTGTTTAATTTATTAAGTATACTTGATAACTGTATTTTATTTTTGCGGTTTTACCGATGTACAGATCAGGGCGATATCTTAGTTGATACCAATAATGTATATAGAAAGTTTGCGTGGTAGATTGGATTGTGTGTAAATTTTTTATCGTTAAGCATTTTACTTATTCAATAAATTAATTATATCTATTTTCAATGGAAGTTTAATTTTTTATGTTAAATAAATCACAACATATTATATACTATTAAATACTTCACAAGTCTTGCAGAGCAACTTTAAGTTTATGTGGCCGTGTGGAATCATCACCCACGTCTCGTGCAGTTTCGTGATACACAAGTATCGGAAATGCCAGAAAGATGCCATAGCTTCCATAAATGGCGGTATAACCATGTAGCCAGCAAAATTTCGGGACCGTCATGTTAAACTGTCAAATCGCCTAACATTTACCAAGCGTGGTTAGGAGTCAAAAAATTTTTAAGATTTTGACCTGGACTTCGTACTGGATTGAAGGGCCTGAATTGATAAGCCTGTTATCAGTCTACTGTTGGATATAAATCTTCCAAGGCAGGGGGAATGGAATCAGCTCTAATATTCACGCTTCGTAGATAGGATGGATGACACTTTTGACTGGTAGTGAGGTATTCCATCTTAGTCCTCAGGGAAAACGTATCTGCATTTTGGTTCTTAATCGATCATTAATGGGCCACATCTTTTACTTATCAGGTGGACTGTGTACTCGCTTTTCACCCTATACTACTTTAAAAAGATTGGTAGTTTACTAGCAGTACGAAATAAATTAATTTCAAGTATAGTGCAAAGTACAGTCACCCGATAATAAGCGTACACCGTAATGATAAGGCCATTGGAGAGTAAGGAATATTGATCCTTTTTGTTTAAATGTAAATATGTACAACTTAGATATCAACGAAGAGAAACAGTATCTCCTCCTCCTCTCCCATATATGTGGCTCTAACGGCAAAATGATAGTAGAAAATCCATACGAATGTGCTAAACCCAAGCCCCACAGATCAAGGACAAAGAACAGAGAGGCGTTAATTAACTAAACATATGTACGTGGTAGAGCCAAGCTGTAGCGATACTGTAGCACGAATGGAGCGTCTCGACCGAGGAAAGGCCGTGGTAGCACAGATGGTATTCTTGCGTTAAGCAGCAGCGGTAAGAACCGGAGACCCCTTTTTCTGGTAACTTGGCATTCTACTCGTATCTTACTCCTCAGGGGAGGTGACACATATCTTAATTCTTAATTAAGTATAGATGTTTTATGGACAGTTGTTTGGAAAATTTAAAAGTTGAAGATTGCGGGTTAAGAATGGTGAGCTAACCGTCAAATGCCTTTTGTAAGCCGATAATCAAGTCATACTCGCGTTGTCGGGAGACGAGTTCCAAATGATGGTTACATTAATGAACAGGTCATTAAAAGAAAGGGGAATGAAAGTGAATGAAATTAATACGAAAGTTATAGTTTTTGAAAGAGAAGATAGTAAAACGAAATGTGAAATAAGAATAGAAGGGGAGTTGGTCGAGCAAGTAGATGAATTTGTGTATTTGGGATGTGTATTTAGCAGGGATGGTAGATATGATAAGAATATAAAACTACTAATGAACGCAGAAAAGGGGAATGAGTAAATGGGGCCCTGCACTCTATTGTGAAAAGTCAAAATGTGGCCAACATCGATATATATGTACTACGTACTAGATTTCGCATTCCGGACATACACTATATTCAAGTGAACTGTACTGCAATTCGTAGTGTGTCATTTAGTGCGGTTTCAATCTACTAGTTAGTCTGTGGTTTCACTATACATGCATTGCATGCAAGATTTCAAATTAAAGTTTAAATTAAAAACTGACCGCGCAGGCGCAACGTGCTTAAATCAACTGCGCATGCGCGACTCTGCTATCTCCCGCGAATGCGCGAAGTCATAGGTAGTGCACATTTTTTGTTTAGAATGGCTTCTCTAGTATGTAGTACATATAACTCAACGGTGTCCAAAAATGCACGTAGGACAATTAACTTCGCTGTGTTAGTCCCTACTTTAAAGTATGGTAGTGAAAGTTACGTGTGGCAGAAGAAGCACGAGAGTAGAATAAATGCTGTAGAAATGCGGTCATTGAGTAGTGTGTTAGGACTGAATCTGAATTACAGGGTGAGAAATTGTGTGATAAAAGAAGTCTGGTTTGCAAGATGATTTAAAATTGAATAGAATAGAATAATTTTTATTCAATATTGACTACAAGTAATTCTTATTGAAAATATTTTTTTTTTACTTTACCACTGGTTCGAAAAAAACCTCTCCTGGGAAGAACCAGCAAGAAACTCAGCGAGACTCTTTTTAAATAAATTTTACAATAGGTATATGTATATGGCTACAAACAACTTATAAAATTTATTTCAGAAACAACTTGGAATCGACCACCTCATTCCCAGGGGTTACTATCAACCATGTATTCATTTATATTATAATAACCCTTTTTATACAGTTTTTGTTAAATTAAATATTAACTAGAGATACCTTGTATATTTTCTGGGACTTTGTTGTAATAGCGTATACATTGCCCCAAGAATGAATCACTGACTCTGTGGAGTAGAGAGACTGGTATATCACTTTCTTTACTAAAACTACATTTGTTTTTGTGAACATACGTCACTCCATCTAGTGGGGGCTCGCCCTAGACTTCGCCTACCGGTACGAGGCTGCCACTGAACAACCTTTTTTCCCCATCGGTTGTCGGTTCTTTGAGCTATATGGCCGACTCATTGCCACTTCAGCTTACGAGGGCGACACTAAGTTTTTAGAACTGGCCACTTGTAAACGATATAATAAAAAATAAGTTAAAATTTTGCTAATGGAACACTTTACCAAAATTATTGTGTATGTATTTTATTAATTTGTCATTTGTTTACGATTTGGCGGCAAATTAGAAATTGTCTGCGTCACGTCAACATGAATTTAACGCGTGAAAATTTTCATACAATGATTTTTTATGACTTTTGATGTCATTTAAGTCAACAAGAAAATTCTGATAGACTTCGATTAGCCTTTCACGATGAAACCCTATCTCGTGCTACTGTTTGCAACTCGTTTAATGAGTTTAAACGTGGTCGCTCTAGTTAATCTCACCGATGATCTACGTGAGGGACGGCCTTCTGCGGCGACAACTGAAGATAATATATGAAAGAGAACGTAGAAACAGAAACAGAAACTTTTTTATTCAATATAGATTATAAATAATACTTATTGAAAGTCACTCTTTTGTTTGATTACCACTGGTTCGGAAAAAACCTCTGTCCTGGGAAGAACCAGCAAGAAACCCAGCGGGACTTTTTTT